AAAAGAGCGGATTTTCTCCATTAAAACCCACGCGACCTCCCCCCGCCCCCAAAGGCCTGGCGCGTTGATAATCTTTCTCCCCCAGCCCACCAAATGAGCCCCCCATGCAGACCTGGCTTACGGCGCACGAGTTTTCGAACAGCCTTTTGGACCCGCGCACATCCAAAGTTTCTCGTTTTGAAAAGTTTAGGTCTTAATGTGCGGGTTTTTTTAATAGCCGTTTCTTAAAACCTGGTTTAAACTTTGTCAGTAAACGACCACCAGATTCGTGCATTGCAGGGGGGGATTGTCCTGGGTGTTGGGCTTTTTCTTTTACATAATCCCTCACAGACAAAGCAAGTAATCAAGAGGCTGCAAAATCCTTGTTTTGCAACAATGGGAGGAGTTTAATACAGAAAATACAAATTGCGGTTATGTGTTCAGATCAGACTGTTGCCACATACTTTTTTTTTTTTTTTCCTTTGAGTAATACACTGCAAAAGACAGATTTTAGCAACAAGTGCATTTGTAATATCCTTAGTGAAAAAAAAAAAATCAAGAAATTAATACCATCTGAACAACTTCCATTTCATACTAACAGAGGATTTCAACACTTGCTTTTTGAACCGACAATTACTCATTGCCATTTCTTTAAAATAATTAATAACACTTGTAACCTGCTCACGTCAAGTCAAATGTAGAATTGAATATGCAGACTCAGAGTGAACTGCATTGCTGCAGCAGGAGCTCCTCTTACCATCTTCTCCAGTCCTGACAATTTTTATTGTAAGATGCCTGCACAGGTCTTTCAGGAACAGGAACGGTCTAGGTTGTACACCAGAACTTGAGTTCTGCTATAAATTCATTTTCTATTTTTACCCCAGGGGTTAATGCACAGGCCATAGGAAAAGCCCTGAGTTTCCTTTGCAAAGGAAAACAGAACCGTACGTCTCAACACCAAAAGCCTCCCGATAGCAAAAAATACCAAGTAGGATGTTCTTAGGACCAAGCCTGTATTAGGTAAAATTGTATTAGGTGATTAAACTGTAATTTAAATGCTGTAATATTAATCCACCACATATGCAGCAACTTTAAGCAAACCTCAGCAGAAGCGCAAGCACAGCTAAATGAAATACTAAAATCTCATTAATTGTACACCAGTTCTTTCCTTCTCATCCTACTCTTCCTTTCTTCCTCTCCTCCTCTCTTCTTCACTTTACTCTTTTTAAGCTCTCTCTGCTGTGCTGGACTCCAAACTGCTCATCACGTCCGCTCCAGGTTGAACACTGTCATTTCTCAAGTTGTAAGTCACCTATATCCCAGAAGACTCATTTCGTTATTCAGGGGAAGACTGAGACTAATGCAGCGTCTCTTTTCCAAAAGATAACAAAATGCAAGACTTCGGACAGCAAAAAGTTGAACTTCACTTCAATGCGCATTCCCAAGTCCTGCGAAAGCCTCGCGGGGCTGCTTGCAAACAGCAACCACCCCCCCAAAATAAATTATTTTATTACACCTGTATTTTTAATACACCTGTATTACAGACCCACCCACAACCGGTTAAGACATCTGTAGACAGTAAAAGCTTTTTGCTGGGAAATTCCTCGCCATTAAGAGTCCTGTTAGTGCAAGAGTAGACCAACAACATGGGGTCCAATTTGTTTCCACTAATCATACCTGATGCCTTACCCACAAACATGTAAATTTTTGAGTAACACGGGTCAAAACTTACCAGCCAACCATCTTGTCTAGTCAAAACCAAAGTGAATTGCAAGGAACTTGGTATCAAGTAATATATTAATCGCTCATCACCTGCAATTTTATCTGGAATATTCTGGTAAGCCTACTTTATCAGAACCGTACCTTTTCACAGTCCACTGGAGATACAGGTAAATACTCAACATGGGCACAGAGGGGGGAAAAAGGAGAAAAAAAAAAAAAAAAAAAAAAAAAAAGAGATTTCTGCAGTACAGAGAATTACCTCAACCATGGTGCAGAAACAGGACGTGAATAATAAGCAGTACGGAACAGTAATTTCAAAACCTGGTTTCTTTCCTATTTGGAACACCCACCACCACCCCCCTCCCCAAATTTCAGATTCAGAACGTCTCACCAGGACTGGCTCTGGGGCAATCCCCACCACGGGCGGCCCCGCATTGGGAAACCCGGGAAGCAGCAGCCCCTCGGCAGCCCCCCCGGCACATTGGCTCGGTAGCCCCAGCTTCGGGGCACCGTGCCCAGTCAGCAGCCAGGAGCTGAGGTTTTCCCTGCGACCGGCCAAAATCAAAACAAGCTTAGGACAGAAAATTGTTTCGGAGCTGGTGGAATGTCACCAAAATCAAGAACAGTGCCTCAGTCACAATTTTCAGATCAGAAAATACTAATAAAATTTGATGATCAATGAAGAAGTAACTATGCATTTGGATATCCAAGTGACAAAATAACGTAACGTTTTCTCAGCGTCAGGACTGCGGTAGTGATAAAAAGTTAACGCTGCCTAGTAATTCAAGTAAGAAGCTGAAGGTCGTCCATCTGAAGATCCCTCAACTTTGAGCAGAGGGAACAGGACCACCCCACACAGCCTCGCCCCAGCCATGGGGCTGGACGCTCCTACTCGCCGCTGGAGCCCCGGGCGGCACGCACATTCCTTCCGTGGGACAGCATTGCCGGAGTGAGCCATGGGCAGGACAACTCCCAGGTTCTCCACCATCTGAAGAGAGGGTGGGGAAGTCAGAGGGCTTTCCTCAGCAGGCCTTGCTGCTCGTCCAACAGCCAGGTCTGTCGCAGGAATTTTCTTGCCGCGCATCCACCACGACCGCCCTACCCAATGCAACCGTGCAAACGACAGCCATGCTGGAACATCTCCACCTCTAAGTCCCTCCAGGAAGCAGCCATGAGCCACCTTCCCACCTTCCGTGAAGTGTCTGCTCTTTGCCTTGGGCAGAAAACACAAGAGGGAAGCCCAGGTCAATGGGCGCATGCTGAAACCCAAGGCCTTTACGGGGCTGCTTCCTCCTCTTGAAGGAGCTAACACGGCTTTTCACCAAAGACCTGCACCCACCTCCTGCACAGACAGGCCATTCAAGGTGAGATGAAACCAGCACTTTAAAGAAATGCTAAAGGAATTTACCAGAACACAGTCCCTGTAAAATTAATGCAGCTAATTTTATTTCCACAACTTTGCGGATTGTAGCTTTTTTTTTCCTAAATGTCACCTTAAAAGAGTGAGCAGTATTTGGTCAGAGTATACGTAGTTTAACCTTTTATTGACAACCCGTGCTAAAACCAGCCCTGTTTCACAGGCAACAATTACAACACTTCTCCAATGACGCAATAAGCATGTAACACTACCATCAAATTAAGGATTAAACAATACATAGAATTTTGGGGGTTTTATCATCTTCAACAGCAGGGAAAGCAACAGGGAGCTGATCAAGGAAATATTTTTACCAAAGTTTTCAATGAAAACATCAACTGGCTGATTCAGAAGGGAATAATTTAGTCAAAGGCAAACAAAACAACATCTACCCCCAAACCAACCGTGCAGGACTTTCATGTAGGATACCAAAGGGATTCAATTCCCTTTTCTGGCCGACGGGTGTTCAGCCCTGGGGCTACCACGTCCCGGGAGCGGGCCCTGCGTTAGACTGTAGCTGTTCTGGGCTGACACATCTCCTCTCCCTTTCCCTCTGCCCTCAAAGTTCAGTTCCATCTCAGTGCCGAATGGGAACATTTCTGAAGTTTCAAGAAGTTGTAAAAGAAAAGAAAAGAAAAAAAAAAAATCTACACTTCATTTGGGGAACACTATCTATACCTTGTAAAAGTGCTACATCGCAGTATTTCCAGTTTCCAAGGGCAGAATTTACACTTGAAGAAAAACAAAACCCACACACACACACCTTAAACCAACTTTGTGACTTTTATTGATGGGCGACAACTTTATACTTCTAGATATCACTAAACTGTGTACAATTAGGAACTCAACATTATAGGAGAGCAGACAGCAAAATTAAACAAAGCAGACTTAAAGAAATGTCAATCTTAATTATCTTGCCCATTTTTTTAATTTCATGTACACAGAAGCATAAATGCAGTTTGAAATTTCTTAATAGCAATAAAGTTACAATCACCCATCTATATAGACTAACATCTTAACTCCAAATATTTGATCTGCAATGTGTACTTAAGCAGTTTCTCATCGCACAATTATTAAAATGTGTCTTCCTATTAGGAACCAGCAACTCTGCATTTTGTACGTTTGTACATTTTTTGAAGCACATAGGACCATTTCCATCTCATACACATCGGCTCATATTTTACCACTTATCAAAAACTATTGGGGAAGCAGAGAGCGCTTTTTTTTTATTTTTTTTTATTTTTTTTTTTTACTTAAGTAAAGATAAAACATTTTCACAGAAATCTACAAGTTCTGTTGCTGGTGCAGGGTTTTTTTTTTTTCTACTACGCAATTAGAAAGTGGGAATCAAATGCAAATCCCCTTTTATTATCTTAGGATTCAGCATTAACTCAGATTAATTTTTTTTTTTTAAATTTTTGTGATTTATACGACTGAGTCTTTCAACCAAGTGACTTCATTCTGCAAAGCCAAAAGTCAACACAAACTATGTTGTGCACAAACCCAAGGTAGTTTCCTTTATCACGCTATCCCATAGTTGCAAGGGAGGAAAAAAAAAGAAAAAAAAAAAAAAAGAAAAAAGATTCACTCAAAAGAGCATTTACAGGAGAAAAAAAAAAGTTAGTGATAGTTGGCGTTCTACAAAGCAGGTATCTTGCACACACAGCGTAAAAGGGAAAAGTTTCACAGCAGGTCAACTCGGCGGTAGTACAGGAGGTAGGCTGTGCGTTCTGCAGACGGCTTCACCACCTGGTACTGATTTATCACTTTGACTGCCTGGTCATCGATGCGTAACCAGCCATTTAGACCAATTTGGAAGACGTCCGTAGTGTAATGGCCACCAGTTGCGCTGTTTCCATGATGATAGACAACTGCAAAGAGAAATTGGTGATGCACATATATGCTATACACAGATAAATATCCACTGAAAAAGTAAATCAAGAAAAAAATGTCACATAGTGCTTTCTTCATAGCGTACTCATGGTTTTGTAGACCGTACGATCTGGCTTAAGCAAGAATCTCTGAAGTGTTTAGTGCTTGCTTGCTTACATTAGATGCTATGTAATATTAACAATGTTTCTCCAGCACACAAGATCTCACGATTCTAAAAGGAGGTTTAAGTAAATTAAGAATCAAAATCATCAAACTGCCTTTTGTAACTTCCTAGAGGATTTTCCAGGAAGGATGTGCCTCACAAAGGCCGTCTGCAACAGCGCAGCACACCCTTCAGAGCTTCCAACAGGTACTGTCACGCTTAGCGAGCTTTTCTAAGCTACACATTTGCTCTGTCTGCTGATGACAACAGTGTTTTATTGAAACTATTTGTAAAAAAGTCAGGTAAAATTATGTAGTAGTCTATAAAAAAAAAATCATCAGGCAAGACTTTTCAAACAGCACTGATTACAAATGTAAGCCAGTTCCCCCCCGACCACTTTTTTAATTTTGTCTTAACTATAATTTTATTCTGAAAACAGGTTCTATTGAAGTACCGATCTACAAGTTTCACATTTATTAATTCTCAGTAACCTCTTTACCAAAATTGTGAACCGAACACCTCTGATCAACTGCTAACACTGCTACTTCCAAGAGAGAATCAAACTGCCTTCTTTCCTCAGTTATCTCTGTTGGCAGAAGCGTTGTGCAGAAAAGACGTCTCGGCTCTCCTTGCAGAAACCAAACCCAAAGCTTAATGCTGTGCTCAGTGCTAGGTGTGGCAACTGCCTCCAAATGGAAGAGATCTTTTATGTATATAATTCTAAGGATGCGTATAAGAAAGTGCATTTAACTCCTTCTAGGAACGTGTGAGCCCTAACCATATACTTAACAAGAACAAATAAAAAGCTGAAAGAATTGCTGTAATTGGCACAAGAGCAGAAGTATCTAATTATGAAATTCTTTACGCTCTTTCAGACTAGTCATACTTCAAGCTTATTCAGACTTTCTTCGCACTTCTAGGAAAATAAACATTTTAGCATAACGACTTAAGCAAAGCAAAAAGGCAGAAATACTGCATCTGTACATTTTGGGGAATTTAAGAAACAATTTTTTTTACAGTAGCTTAAACTTGAATTATTCATGTTCTAAAATTTATTGTTGGATAATTAGGCAAATCCTGGATGCTTTCTAAAACAGTTCTTTAAAAGCTTATTTTAGTAATTTAACACTCATCTAACAAGCTCAGTTTCTGCGGATGAGAAGTCCTAGGCTGACAGAAGACTGAAGTATTGTACTTTTCCATAGAAGGAGTCAGAAAAAATTACAGCAGTAACGCATTTTCTTCAAGCCACCTTAAATATGCTGTCTAAACTTGTCCCAGGAAAACCACTATCAATAAAATAAAAAATTACACTGCCAGAAACAGTCCTGAATTTCCACAAGAGACAGGTATGTTACTTCCTTGTGTAACCTCAGCGGTCACAAAACTGGACCCAAACCACCAAGTCACACAAGGCCACCAGTACTGGCACAGATTTGGTGACACAGAAGTGAAGGCCTCCAGTTCTCCGGTTTATTACGTTCTCCTGACGCCAACACAAATAAGCAGGTGCAAATCGTAAACTGTGTAGGAGTTTTAAACTTCAGGAAATTCATTACTGCCCAGAGACTGTTTTGTTCAATATTAAAATGCTGCTTCTGAATTCTTACATGAGCTTCCAATCTTAACTACCAATTTAGGTCTTTCGTATACATCACAGACACTCTTAAAACATTTGTTTCCTCACACAAAAATCATCATCTCCTCCAAGTTAAACTTTTCCACCTACAATATGCTATCCATACGCCGCCAGCAATACTCATCTTGAGGGTTCAGAGGGATGCAAAGCCAGCATTCAAACAGCCATTTCAAAAGACATTTCAAACATTGTTCTGAGAATATGCGGTGCATTTTAAGCATAGTTATATTACAGCTGTATTTCAGGGTGGATCTGTTACAGAACTCTGTTTTTGCACAAAGCTGGATCAGCGAGATGTATAAATACAGATATAACGATGTATGTGTATATGCACATATGCAAAAGACCCCACTAAATACAAGAATTGGACACTCACAAGCTACTTCAGTGTAATTTAAAAGAAAATATTTTATATGATCCAGGGAACTGCACTGTTTCTAGAATTCTATATGCAGAATTTGTATTTGCAATACAGGGACTAGAGGCATATAGATAAAATACCTGCAAAGAGCCGGTAGGTTCTTTGGCCTTTAAAAATTTTACTTTTCACACCAGGAGATAGTAGCTCTAGAGGAGGGAAAAAAGTCACAAAGGCAACCGTTAGCAAGTTTAGAAATTCAAATTTTAAAGGGATCAATTATTTCTAAGACAAACCAACACTACCATAAAGGAGAAAGTTTACTTAAAACATATTCTGCAGCCTTTAAAGAATGGTCATGGTTCTGATACCCAGTAATCAAGGGAATGAATTTTGAGGTTTGCTGAACACTAACATTTATGGAAGGTTCAAAAATACCACAAAACATCCCTGAAGAATAAATTTAAAAAAAAAAAAAAAAGGGCAAAAGATCAGACTTTTCATTTTATCTACATAACTAGTGGCTTAGGTATCTTCCTTTCATTCCTGCTGTCAGACAATGACAAAAATCAATTTCAGATTCCAAGTCATACTACAACCATTTTCGTCAGTCAAGGCAAATTGAACTAGTTCTACAAACATCCATTCTTTAAAGAATTTTTCAAACAAAATATTAAGTAAAACAAAAGGGTACTGTCTGACAAAGTACATATCTCGCTTGAGATGTGAGTAATCATTAATTTTATTTATCTTTTTCCTATTTGAACTACTGGCTGGCTAACAGCCAATTTGTCAGATCAAAACAAAATGCATTTAATTTGGCAAGCTTCAGATGCTGGATTATATGCAAGCTCTCACACTTTGTAAAAACGGTATCTCTTAAGATATTTGTTAAAAGAATAAACTTTGTTGTTTAACCTGTGAACTACGGCTTAGTTGTCTGCCTCCAGGGTGCATTTTCTAAAAAAATGACCAGTTTCCTTTCATCAGCCACTATTTATTAAAATAATTTGCCACTTCTGTGAATGAAATCCGAGATGAAAATATCTCCTATTACTTGGCAACAGCCTTGTGTAGGGACATACTCCTCATTCAACAGGATCACTTCCAATATTTCGCCCTCAGCGGTCTATAACCCTACTCCTTAAATCTGCAGGAAGCTCTTATTTGGCCAACCCAATGCCTAGGACGTGGCAAAGGTTCTAAAATCATTCACCATAATGTTCTTTGCAAAATGGATGCCCAAACTCATATATAGGCAATGTCAGGTTCAGCAAGACCGAACCAAGAAACCCAAATATATTCTTTTTATGAAGGAAAAGAAAAACAAAAAGAAGAAAGCAGCATACAAGATAGTCATCCAAATTACTAAGTTTCCAGACAACAATGGAGAAGAAATACTGTGCACAAAGCTGGGAGCAAAGAAGAAAACTGAAACACAAACAGATACCCCTAGGAAACACACATTATCTTTTCCCTAAAGAAGGGAAAATTCTGTTAAAAAAAGCTTTACCTTTACTAATTTCCAGATCAACAGGATACTCAATATTCTTGATAAGCTTCTGGCATCCACCAGTTTTCTCATATACAAACCGCTTGAGGTGTAAAACAAGAACAGGGGGGAGTTCTTCTAGTGTCACTCTTCGACTGATCTCCACCTAACACATCCACAGAACAAAGATGAAGAAAAACTGTAATTTTTTGTTAACTGCTCAAAATTACTTCTTTAAAAGAGGAATAAGTAGTTAATTTTAAATATACTAGCAGAAAAAACACATATTTTTTAATTAATTTACGATAAACACTGCAGTTTATGACTTCAACCAAAGTGGTGTCTTAAAGGAGAACCCCAATACTTTTTAGTAGAATGTAACACGTTAGAATGAGCACAGATATTTAGGTACTGCAGTACTAAAACCACCTTGCTGGAGATCCCAACAGGAGAAACTCCTCATGAAAGTTTAGTGATTAATAATTCTTAGCAAGCTATTATATTCTAATCAAAGGTCAGTAACTTGTAACCTAAGCTGCTGAATTCAGAGAACTCTGAACTGTAGAAGACAACAGCACCACAGCTCAGCACCTGAGGCAAAAGTTTTCATTTCTAAAAGCTATTTTCATTTCTAAAAGCTGACACTATTTTACAAAAAGCTGAATAGAAGGAAAAAATAAGAACTAATCCAAATCACGTCTTAGTTTTCCACAGGGAAATTAAATTTAATCAAAAAAGAATCTCTATAAAACAAAGGCAAACTCCTAAAATAAAAGATTTTGGTATAAACACCTAAATCTCCATTTATCTTGAGAAATTTCATTGAACGCTCCAGAAATACTGAGTGAAATGCAAAAGCAGTATTGCAACTACTTTGCTGAAAAGTTTGAATCCTGTGTCACTTTAAAGAGCATCCTGAGCATACCTCGTGATTCCCCACTAAAATACTGGTTTCTACAACAGACTTCTCCAGTTTTAACTGGTACTATCTTCACTCCTCCCTTCTCATCAAAAGAATCCTGAAACGCTGTTGGAAAACACCTCCTCACAATGGTATCATTAAAATAAAGACCTATTCACAGGGCGAATAACAATGAAGAATATATTAAGAGGTCAGTAGTGCAACTGTTCAAAAGTTATTTTGTTATTAACCAGATGATGTCTGTTGTTCAGCTGAACAAAGTGAGCTGTTATGGTGGCTGTTTAAAAATGATTTAGCCACCATGATCAGCCATTACAGATCAGTAATTAAAGACTTTTCTGTTTAAAAGTATGCTGGGTTCTTGAAAAAGGTTCTGAATAAAGTTAAGAGAAAAATATGAGTTATAACCTCACTGTTTTCTACTAAAACTTTATTTTTTCGATAGTTACAACCAAATAATCCACAAAGTTACTGTCCGAAAACCTGAAACTGGGCTCACAATTGCAGAACAAAAATGTTTTGCCTGCCTCAAAATTATGACATAAAACCCAGATCTCCAAGTAACTGCTTCAGGTTTTTCTGAATTTTTTTGATTGAGAAAAGTATCTTTATTGTAAATCATCAGCACATTATTTTTCAATGCAGGGCCCAATTCTGCTAGAACCTAGTAAGAGTGGAACAGAAATTCATGGGGAAGAACTACTACTATTTTCCAAGCCTGAATAGTAAAACCTCTTACAAAGCTGAAGCAGGCAGATTTTGTAGGGTACTTGATTTCCTCATGGATCTGTGCTAATCCAATTTACAAGAAGTAATTCTACATTTGAAACAGAAATACTCTCTACAAACTGTAAAATTTCACCTGCATCTCAAGAGTGCAAAACACACCCTTCTGCATCCAGAACGCATCAAATGCCTGGCAACAGCGGCAGCTTCACTGAGAACTGAGCTTGGTTTTTTGTGGGTTTTGGTTTTTGTTTTTTTCTTAAATTGGCAAGCCAAACAGGAGCCTGTTCTTTTGCATTCAACAAGTGCCTGCTCGTGCCCATCTCCTCAATTTCCAGGAAATAACATGCAGAATAAGAAGTTAGAAGGCAAAGTCTGAAAGTGAAGGTGACAAGAAGTTCACACAATTCTCTTATGAACTCATGAGAACATGCATCTTCCATGCATCTTAGCATGGAACAGCTCCTGCTTTTAGGGAGCAAATCCAGAGAGGCTTTGTGTAGAGAAAAAACATGCACTTGATTCACCCACTTATAACTATCTCACGATTTTCCTGTATTGCGTCTTCTAAATCCCAAATCTGAAGTCTTTGAATTCAGAGTTTTGTGCAAAAAGAACTTAACAGCTCCCAGCCCAGACCAGGGGCTGAAGAACGTCACTGCAGTGGTTTCAGCAGTCGCCGTTCTCCATCCTCAGTAACCAAACTGGTGTACGGGAACAGATGCCTGCATCTCAGCTGCGTGGCTCCGTATTGCCTTAAACCACGGATCAAAGCGGTTTTGTGTTACGGTGCCAGACGGAACAGCAGATGTTCTGCTGCCCTGACTGTGTGAAGGGGCCCTGCTTTCTGGCAGCAACATTACCAGCTAAAAGTGCCACCAATGTTTGTTTAGTGAACATGAGTCAGAGGCCCAACAAAAACAGTGTTCAAAAAACGGGCAGACGTGGCACTTGGGGACATGGTTTAGTGGGCATGGTGGTGTTGGGTTGATGGTTGGACTGACGACCTTAGAGATCCTTTCCAACCTTAATGATTCCTAGTTTTTACTTTCATTAAAAAATAATCCAGCCACCAAGCCAGGAAACATGAAATTACTACTCTACCCTTAACTGGTTTAGCGGTGGACTTGGTAGTGTTAGGTTGATGGTTGGACTGGATGATCTGAAAGGTCTTTTCCAACCTAAACAATTCTATTCTATGAAAATACTTGTAAGATGCTTAAGGAGCTGTCTCAGAACTCCAGGGGATGTGAAGACTCCTTCTAAGGAGTATGTGGAAGGTAACCTGGAAAAGTAAATGAGGTAAGGCTAGATTTTTACTCAAGAGTCTTCACTTTTGCTAGAAAACATGAGCAGGTCTGCAAATACAAATAAGAGACTGAAAAGAACATCACTTCAGTGAGGATAAAAATTAAGCCCTTTAAAGAACATGTTAACTGCTGAAATACTCAAGATTAAAACTGATCTGCAAGACCAGAAGGAACCAAAACAACTTTCTTCAAATGTTAGTGAGCAAGTGAAATTGAGTCAGGAACACCAAGAGAATGCCACTCCATTTTAAACACCTATTTGCATTTAAAACGCCTAATTATTTTCAACATTGCATGAAAATCTGACTGATTTCCTGTTTATATTAATACACACATAAAATTCAAAATCAGCTCAAAGTGATTGAAAAATAAACTTTAAGAGAAATCATTCACATATATTTGGAAGATTATTCTTTTCATTCTATTGTTTATGCCCACAACTTGTAAAGAATACAATCCAGATTAAAACAATCAAGACACTAATAATTTTTACTAATACAATAATATGATTTTTAGCTTTATTAGTCCTGAGTTCCCTTTATGTAAAATGGAGATGAAATACTTCTTCACAATATATTTTGAAAATTACTATTTACAAAGTCCTATGCTTGTTCTACAGTCAATGTGCTCAGTGTTTTCAGTACAATTTTAATACAAGAACAGCTATTTCAACTTGAATTTCTTTTGAAAAGAGATCTAAAAGACATTGTGAATGCTTGTGTTTCCATTCAGACTCTAAAATATAAGCCAGACCAAACCTCCAGCACCTAATTGGGACACGCATTTCTTCCAAACCCCATAATTGAACAGTGGGTTGTCACTAAAGAAGTTAAAACCGTCTGCAGTAAAAACCAAAAAATGAATGACTAGCAAAACAAAATCTATGTGGTAAATCATGATGAGCTTGCATTGCAAATGCTTCTTTCCCATGGAAGACAAGTGGAGAAATACATGTTCTCTAACACTCCTACTGAGTATACAAGGGAGAGAAGATTCAGCTATTCATCTTCAGCTTTTCAAAGAAAATGGTCCATCCTTTCATTAGCTAACCATTTGGAGTATTTAGAAAACTTACAGACAGAGAAATTAATGTCAGAGGAACATCTACAACTCAAGAGCCTCCTTCCATCCCGGCCTACTGAAAGAAGGTACGAACAGCGTACGTAAAATTTCCATCTGAGCAATCCACACACACCACAGATGATGCGCTTTACTAACGCACACCATAAGAAGCAAGGCAATACCTTAGTGGGGAAAAAGTTTAATTTATTACCCTATATCACAAGTTCTCAAACTGTAATGCCAAATGCATGCGTTTCTTCCTATGAAGTATTTTTTATTGCAATTATTACTATTACGTATTATATTATTTGAAAAATAAGATTAAAAAAAATTGCAGAGCTGCATGAGAATACTGAATAAAATGTCCTGGCACTTAAAGTGACAGAAAATCACAGGGCTTGGAGATCCTAAAAGGTCCTCCCCTCTGAATCAATTATAACAATTTGTGTAAATCTTGACTGGTGTTTCTCCAACCTTCTCTTAAAGCAGCGAGGACAACCCCACAAGCACCACAGATAACACCTAGTCTAGGTCTTACTCCTATTTACCCTTCTGGGTATCACTGAGAAAAAAAATCAGTCTTTTCCTTTTCAGAGCAGCCTTTGACATACTAAGTTTTACATCTGGTTCCATCTTTCTACTTCCATGTTTTTTCTTCTTGATGCTGAACAGCTCCTCCCTCTTATTCGTTCCTTTTACATTACAATTTTTATACTGCCATTCATTTTGAATGCTCTTTTCCAGATATCCTCCAACTGTGAAGCATGCTTTTCTTGAACTGATGACCTAAAACTGAATATAGTATTACTGACAAGTTTTTTTTAGGGCTGTGTACAGCAAACCAGTCAACTATACAGTGCCAAGGACGCTGAATGGAGGTGTTACTGGCTATTGAAAGATTTCAGATTATTAATCCAGAGAGAAAGAGAGTGATCATCAGATGTTTTAGTGAGGTTCTAGATGGAGTTCTACCAGGCCTACCACCAATGAGTATTTTCATTTTTTATTTGTAAGTGCAATGTGTAAATCAAAACCCATCAAGGATAGCCACACAGCCAGCCATGCAAGTGTTCTGCTACAACAGTTTTCTTAAAGCTGGAGCATGCTTTCAAATGATACTCTGAAAGAGCTGCTCCTTTACTAAGAACGTCTGGCAATCCCCAGGAATCAGTATGTTAAGATCAGCTTATTTTACTCATAATAGTATGTATTATTACCACAGTTCACCCTGTTAATTTAATATACACTCCAGTCAAATCTCTAACTAATTTCTACACCAACTCAGAAAACGTACCTATTTACAGGCACGGTTCTGTTTTTAAGAGTTATTCTCTTCCTTTCAGGGTGTGTGTGCTCAAGTGTAATACCTTTTACTGCTGCAGGACACTTTGAAAAGGTTAGTACCTCTTTTGTTAACGTAAGTAATAGCATTCAAGTAACTACTTGTAAAGCAAGAGCTGTATAAAAACCCTTTTAAAAAGTTTAGTGTATGACTGTGAAAAGGGGTCAACAGAACACACCTCTTGCTTGGTTTTTGTGGTATAACCCTGGACAGACTCTCTTGCCACCAAACTTTCCAATGCATCCTGAACTGTGCGTATCTTGTCTGACTGGATATCCAGTTGCAGGGTGAAGAAAGGTTGCAGTGTAGCAGACTCCTTAGAACTCTGCTGGTAAACAACAGATCTATGGAAACAAAAAAGTTAAAATGTAATAAAGCAGAGTAACTTTCAGCCATATAGAACCTTCAAGTAAGAATGGACTGAAGCCTACTTTAGTAATTCGATTTATAATTAAACCAAAACAAAGGTTAATCCTAAATTTCAACAACCTGAATCCACTTCACTGCAATTTAAATGATTTTCACATCCACTTAGAGCATACTGAATGGGATCAGATTGGAATTGTTTTATTTATGCAAGAATTAAAACAGTTATTGGATAAGCATCAAAAGTTTAAAGAAAAATACTGAAATTTTTGATAACGCATTTAAAAATATTTACCTCCGGAGTCTTTACACATTAGAGTTTTGAAATTATGTTTTCCAACAGGTCTTTGGAAGTGCAAAATACTAGTGCTTATCTAACTGTATGTTTTACTGTAAAAATTACAAGTGATTCCAGATTCTTCAATAGAAATACACAAATTTTTTAGTCACTTCACTAAGACCAATTTCACAGTGATTTTAAATTGTTTTCTTAAATCTTGCCATAGGAAATACAAACTATGCTCCGTCAAGGACTGGCATTTCCTTTTCCTCCCATCATTTTCTGTGTCCAGACTTTGTTGATGTACTCCTCTGTACATAAATTGGAGTCTTTTGGAAAACTAGCAGGAGTAACAACCTAGGGCATGAGAACATGTTTCCTGTTTTTTCTGGTTTTTATTTTGTTTCAAGTGTATTCAGTTGCAGCCTTTAAGTAGCCTGGCTTGGTGATCATTGTTTTGTGCAATGAAACAGCATGCTCTTCAGCCACAACGTCACTGCACTAAGTGGACTCTTCCCAATTTTCATTTTTCTTAAACTTCACTGAAAACTGAAAACCATCAAACATGTCTCAAGAATTTTTTTTTTTTAAATTTTGAAAGCAGTACTTACATTAAAAAGCCCCAGCTGCTACAAAAATGTGGTTTTATACAGCCAAAGAAATCATTCATTTATTATATTGTTATGCTTGTTACAGTGCCTTACAAAGCTTAAAAGTAGTAAGATGATTAACACAGCTCTAATCCACATAGCCATGCTGAAATTTCTCCAAGTCATGTACGAAATGTTAACAGACAGGTTCGACGCCTGTACTGCAGACTCCTATCAAAAGAGCCCCTTTGACTCAGGCAAAGCCCTGAAGCACCAACAGAAAGCCAATGCATCTTTGTATCGGCAAATACATATCCTTTAGGGGAAAGAGAGCGTATGAAAACAGTAGCATCTTTATTTCCGATTAACACTTCCTCTTTGGCTATATTTAAGGACAAATACTTCAACACATGGCAAGCGCAGTGTATCAATAAACAAACCCTTCACTGTGTAAGTCTTGCTGCTTTTGGATACACTTCCCAAACCCTTTTTAAACTAACCATTACTTAGTGCAATAATCAACAGAAAAATGCTAACAACTCCAACTGTTTTCAAGTCCATGTATTAAAGATTAATAATAATATGGATCATACTCTGAAAAGATAACATTATGGATTTTTTTAAAAAAATATTAGAAATTAAATTGTAACATTTCTTCAAAATATTTTCCTTAAAAAGATATGCAGAAATTGATTTGATAGCAAAACCTTTGCTGGACTATGATTTTCTATAACAATGTCACTTATTAGAATAATTACAAATTTCAATTGGAAAATGCATAATTTTCAATGCATAATTACTCTTGGGTACTGTAAGAACTCTACAGTAAGAATTTTTCAGGAAAATAGGCACTGCCCACTGCTACCCTGCTTAAACTAGAACAATGTAATCGATGTGTTTTCTTTTAAAATAACAGTGCATTTGAAGGGAAAACTTGGTACTACTTATGGAAATATTTAGCAGGCTTCTAAGCGGCCTGTGAGCTAGCTTGCATAACAAATATTTGAAATTCACACAAGCTGAAAGTCAAAAGGGACTCCTGCACATGAACAAACCAGATCCTGATGGAACTATCTTGGTATTTACACATTTAAGTTTCACATTGCTTAAGGAAAGCTTTTTCATTTTGTTTTAGGTTTTTTAAGCAATTATACCTAAATAGGCATTTAATAGACAATTAAACCCTCGAGAAGACAGCCTAAAGTTTCCCAAGCCAAAAGATGCCAATTCAAACCATGTTTTCTTAGCTGCTTTTTCCATTTGATTTTTCCAACTTCTGATGCTTTCATTTAGTGGAATTCTAATGGCAATCCTGTATTCAATCCTTCCTATCTCCACCCTCAGCCTCAAAGGACGAAGCTTTCCAACATCACAACATGGGATACTGTTTCTGCGGTAAATTGTGTGACCTGGTTTGGAGGCTCAGTAAAGCGGGTGTGGTGACAGCAGACAACAGATGTCGGATTGGACCCTGCGGTTCTGTTGCTCAGTGCAAGTTTTTGCCTTTTTTCAGTATTACCTTTGCTTTATGTCGTTTTCTGTGGACTTCTACAGAAGACAATGTTCTCCTGGTATACTTAATTTAAAAACTAATGCAATCAAGCAGCAATCTAAACAATTCTGACCATGATAAATATACTAAGGGTATTAACAATACATTGGTTATGTGAACATACCATCAATGCGGAATTTCATCAATACGTACAAACATCTGTCTGCCAATTGCTATGGAAAATATCATTTTATTTGCCAGCTGTCTGACTTAAATCCCAGGAGAATAATTTCAGTGCATTTCACAGGCAGGAGGCACTAGCCCACATTATTCACACCTCTGGACTGAATACCTGGCAACACAGGGAGTCAAACACTAGCAATTAAGTGTCTGTCTCCAATTTAAAAATAATTCTTCAAGTCTAACATTTTTGTTTTGGAATATGTTTTTAGCAAGTGTTTACCTTGCTTTCATTTTAAATTATACATTTCTCCAAACAAGTCATGAGGCTTCCTTTCCAAAAAAATATTCTTTCAGTATCTACTTTCTGCCTTCATCCGGTATCAGGCCTGGATGTAAGTAATGTCCCACATTCTTTTCATTCCTGTAACATCCTGTAGTAATTTACATTTTTCCAAACTTCTTTCATCTTTAACATTTTATTTATTAACTATTACACATAACTTTCCTGCCTTTGGGAAGCATAAGTGTCTAAACAACCAAAAGTCTACAATTTTTTATTTTATTTCATTCTTAGTTTACTGACCAGATTTAACTCTTAGCAAATCTCACTATCCCCTAGTATCCTTATTCAAAAAATTAGTCAAGACCACTCAGAGGTCACAAAAATTAGGTAGCTCTAAAGTTCTTTGGAATTCTTAAGACATTAATATAAATATACAAAGCACACATATTTCAAACTCCTCTATCTGCAATTCAGGACTTTTGTTCTCTAAACAGTCTGTTCTTTTAAGACACTTAAAAAGATTCAGACTCTACAATAAGTCATATATTCATTTGATCATTGATCAATCTTTTGATCATTCTGGTCCATCTTCTGAACCCTCTCTTGCATTAACAAATGCTCCATGGTAGAACGTTCACCTCTCCTGGCCTGAACAAACTGTGTAACAGTCTCTGCCATCCAACTATCCAATAATGGTGAAAAATACAGAAAGCAAAGCACAGGAAAAAGCTATCTGTAAAGGCAAAGCAGCCTACGGTCTCAACAACTTTTACAAAAAAGTACTATACCTTATATGACCACCAAAGATATCAGTAATTGGAGTCTGAACAAAGTCAGCCTGTCGAGTGACTGATGATTTGTTGCGAGGTCCCACTTGCTCCCATTCATCCTCACTGCCTTCCCCTTGTTCATCTTGCTCCTCTTCTTCATGAACAGTCTGAGCCTCAGGGCCATTGGACACTGAGAGTTCTTAAAGTGAAGAAGAAAAAAAACCAAAAAGTGGTGGGTTTGTTTTTTTTTTTTCTTCACAAATAAAACATGTATACAGGTAAAGAATTTGAAAGGAAAACAATGCAATACAAATAATTTTCATAGATCATAGATTTGAGAAAGTAAATGAGAACAAGTGTATTCCAGGCTCACTCACAGCTGGACACATCCATGTATGAACAGAATGCAGCTCACTGATGACTGTATGTAAACAGATGTAGTTTTCTAGCAAAGTTTGATATATTTTTAGTAGTAAATTTATGGGGTAGAAAATTAGAAAGTCAAGTGTTATTCTGGAAACATAATTATGTCATTATTAAATACAGCTCCTTTTCTGCGCAGATATTTTACAGGGAACCCAAGGCTTAGCAAATATTTTCTTTGCAAGTGCCAAAGTCAGGAGGCTATAAACTGCACATAGCTAAAGAACAAAATATGGAATGATCATTTTATATCATAAAAAATTTACCCTACTAAAGAGAAATTGGATAACTAGTGATCTTAATTCTATACTTGGCAATACTTGGCTGTTGTGGTTTAGCCCCAGTTGGCAACCAAGCCCCACACAGCCACTCGCTCCCCCTCCCCCCCGGTGAGATCGGGGAGAGAATTGGAAGAGCAAATGTAAGAAAACTTGTGGGTTCAGATAAGAACAGTTTAATTATTGGGGAGTGGGGGGGTGGAATTTGTAATGAAAAGAGGAGCAAAAAGAGAGAAAAGAAACAACACCCAGGAAAGCCAAGTGATGCAACCGCTCGCCACCCGCTGACCAACGCCCAGCCCGTCCCCGAGCAGCGATGGCTGCCCCCCGCCAGCCCCCCCAGTTTCTATACTGGGCATGACGCCATACGGTATGGAATAGCCCTTTGGGCAGTTTGGATCAACTATTCTGGCTGTGCCCCCTCCCAGCTTCTTGTGCCCCTGGCAGAGCATGGGAAGCTGAGAAGTCCTTGACTGGTGTCAGCACTGCTGAGCAACAACCAAACCATCGGTGTGTTCTCAGCATCATTCTCACACTGAATCCAAAACACAGCACTATGCCAGCTGCTAGGAAGAAAATAAACTCTGCCCCAGCTGAAACGAGGACATTGGCTACAACTAACAGTGTTTTGTTTCATTTTTCACAGGGGACCCAAACATAAAGCCACTGTAAAATAAAACGGCGTTCTAGTCTGCACACAAGTTCTAATACTTCTTCCAAAGAAAATTTTTTTCTCCAACTTTGCCAATAAGAATTTTTAGATAATTTAGTATGTTCTGGTATGTATTAGATATTAGCCATTATCAGCCATTAGTCTAGAAGTTTCCACTTCAAAAAAAAGATCCTAATCAACAGTTGTTTAGAAGATCAGTGAAAAAAAACACTGATATATTTTTGAACTACCACGGAGAGAGCCAAAACCCCAGTAAACAACAGACCTTGCAGGTATTATGAATGGCAGACAAACATACCTACGCTTAAGACAGGACTAGTCAACTTGAGTTAGCCTCAAGTAATGCTCAGCTGAGCTCAGTAAAAATTGGTAATACAGAAATTTATTGTTTAGGAGGACCAGGTACATGACATTATTATTATTGTCATTCAGAGTATTTACAGAATGAGAATGCTTTTCCAAATATCCAGTAACACTTCAGATCATTTGTAAATTGCACAGAATGGACTAATTTTATCCTTTGGACACATTTTAACAAAAGATTATTTGTTAATGTCTGAGTCCCCTAAAACATGGAATTCTATCCTTATCTCAACATGTACTCCAAACATTTCTCTGTATTACAGAATCACCGCAAAAACATGAGAACATTTGAAGGAAGTTAAGTTTGCTACAAAAAAAAAAAAAACAAACCCAAAACACCACTAACTTTCATTATGTGGAGAGAGAAGTTTCTTTAGAGTCAGCATTTCTTCATGTAGTCCATTGAGGATAAATCCCAAGTATTCTTCTGCATCCTCTTGCCTGCCCTGAATATAATGGATTTTTTTCAATTATTACATGGCATTTTCATGTTTTTATTTTAACAGAAGATTCATGACATCGAACATCTAGCTTTCTCCTATTAATTTAGCTAATTTACCAACTACTCAGCACTAAGTCATAAAGTCAAATGAAGTTTAAATTTTATTATAACAGCCCCTCATTTTTAACCAATTCAAAAAGAACCTACACATTAATTGGTAACCTGCCATAAACAGCAAGTACACACATAAGCTTGGCCTTGATACAAGAATTTCTGCATTCTTCTCAATACAAATTCAATTTAACATTTGAGTTTATATTTTTTTTCAATTTCTTTTAAAAGTAGTATTAAAAGTTACTGCCAAACCAAGACCAAATCAAAAGATGGTTTGAACCATTATCTTTTCTTTAAATTGAAACTAAACCTGAAATAGTATTTTGCAGTCTCTGTGGACCTTTAACTATTCAAAGCTGAATCCCAAGCAGAAACAAACAACTGCTCATTTCTTAAATATAAAGCAATAGGTATCTTCTTTATAAAAAGAGATGTTCCATTCCAATCATAATTTTTTTCATTATTCTGACATACTAAACTGCCAAACTTATAACTAACATCTTCCTATAATTTAAGTCCCAAGATAGTCTAGCTTCATTACAATGAACTATCAATGCGTTGATTTTAGTAATATTTAGGCACAGAACCTGATGTATGGCTTTATATTGTTTTAAGGACAGTGACTGCCTTGCAACACAACTATAAAAGTCAAAGATTTGTAGTAAGTCACACCTTTTCTGACAGACTTGACTTTATAACTGTCAAAAGCCTATAAATGTATGTAGGCTCAAAGGCAGCTCCTGGTCGGATGTCTCTCACAATTTTATCGCCTAAAGCTGCAAGGCAAAGAGAAGTACATATAAATAACAATACATAGAAGTTTTTCTACATTATACCTCAGCATTCTCTTCACATATCACTAGAGTTTGGAATCCAAAATTATTTTTAATTAATAGTTTTATTACAACTTTAGTGACTCAAGCTCAGAATTCGTAAGATACAACTCTTAACCTGCAGACATTTTTTTAAAAACATCTTACATCACCCTACATAGACTCACAGATGGTCTGGAAAAGTTAGTATTCTCTTTTTATAGCCAACACTCGGAAGATTAACAAGAATATCCACAGCCATCATAAAAGAACAATTCCGGTTCTATTTAAATTTTTGTACTTCTTTTGTATTCAAAGCACACGTCCTTAAATCTTTTATATATCTGTAATTCTAACAGATCACTTTTCCTCACTGCAGAAAAAAACCCAAAACGCAAACAAGATACAGTTTAACAGAATGTTCAACCTAATGGCAATACAAGGCCTCAGAAACTATATTTGAAAACTACACAATACAATAAAATGACCTAGAAGTATAATAAGTTGCATAAGACAGTAAGATTTGTTTTACAGAAATAAAACTTAAGCAGCAAACCACAGAAATGTCTGAACTGTTTGGAAATCACTGGAACAACCAGCTCCTTGTGATATTTTCTTATAATGTTACATAAACACATTCCTGAAACTGCTTTTTATTTCTATAAGTCTGTATTACAACACATTTAGAGATTAAAAAAATGAAACCTACAAGATAATTTATTTGCATCAAAACAATGTTCTATTCCTCACTACATAATCATCATTGATCCTAAACACATATTAGCAAGAATCATACACTTCTAAAGTTTTAACACTGAACTAGTGCATGGGATGGGGAGGAATTAAAAGCCATGATAACATGCCTGCAGGCAATCTCTGACTGCTAAAGAGACCTACTATGGCCCCATTTTGTTCCAAATGAATGTGTTTAGTATTTAAGGAAGAATGATAGAATTGAGCAAATTGATAAACCAAACAGTTGGAAATACGTAAGGAAGTGGAGTAAAATATAGTGAATATCAAATGATTTTATTAGAAAGGGCATATTCTTAGAAAACATCTTAACAATTAAGCCAACCTTCAACAAAAACTACTGCACTTGTACATTTGGTATACCAAATAGCAGAAAAAATATAAGGTGCAACACCTACGACTTCTTGACATGAATCACCAATAAGAAAAAGTGTAACACTGACAGAAAAGCAACAGCAAACTTTTTAAGATATCAAGAAACCCCGAATATCCACAGAGCCATGACGGGGATCAAGCACCATTATTTAAAAGCACATCACACAATGTAGATCCTTACCCCAAAGCCTTTTTATCATGATTTTAAGACTTTTCTGCCCCTACTCCTACTCACCTTGTTTTGCTTTAGGAGGTACAGGCATATTAGTGAACTCATTCATTAAACGAACACTGAAACAGAATGGAAGGAACAACTAGACATGAGCAGCAAGTTAAGACTTAGAAGGACAAATAATAAAATTAGATCATTGTCATTACTGACTGCCAAAAAAAAAAAAAAAAAAAAAAATCAAAACCAAAGACTATCATAATGAAGTCTGAGCAAAGTTCAGGCATAAAAATTAAAAATTAACCTGATCATTGCTAATGAAACCAAGATGTTAGGTTAGTTCTTGCAGCGCTCTCAGTTCATTTTTGCATATTAAGCACTATTTAAAACTGATATTCCTCAGGCAATAGGAAGTATCTTCCTTGACTAGTCAAGCAATTGTAAAATACCAAGTTCATTAGAAAAGCCAGGTATCACCAAAAAAACACACAAAAAAGGCTTCTGGATACATACCAACTTTCAACAACTGCAGTAAACAATGATTTGTTAGATACTTCTGAATGAGCTTAGTCAGACCACAGTTTTGTTGGTTTTTTTTAAAACAAGCTACTTACAAACTGTCTATCATTGGTGTTGAGGTACACGGCCGCTGTGATTTTGAATACATTGGAATGGACTTCATTAAATGATACATTGGAGGGCAAGCAACCAAGGCTTGCAGGGTCTACGCAGTGACATTAAGGAAATATTCAGAAAACGTAATCTGCATATTAACCAAATATTCAATTATATTTAAAATGATATGCAAAACAAAGCTAACTCTTCATTATGTAGACCAATCCAATAACTAAATTGGAACAGATGGATGGACTTTTATTACAACATTAACTAATAAAGTACAGAAGTTATACTAAAAAAAAGGGCCATCTTGTAACATGCAGTGATTTCAGTGACATTTTAATCATGTCAAAAACTTTAATTAAAGGGAAAGGAAACATTTAGTCTAGGAGCAGGAAAGGAAAAAAAAACGTTCCTATGAAAGGCTTTGTAAAATTAACAATTTGAAAATTGGCAAGTAATAACCTGTAACATGTTTTCTGAAAAGAATGGAAGAAGCCAGCTGACAGACTTGAAGTTAAAGGTTATGATTCACCCCGTAACAAAACCAACCCCAAAAACCCACTGTGATGTGAAACATTCTGCAGTGTAAAGAAGAGTTTGGAGCAACCAGTAAAACTACAGGCATATGTTGGGAGAAAATATTTTAAAAACAGCAAAATCCGTGCTACTTGGCAAGAAAAGCGATCAGAGGAAACGTATTAAAAGATTGGAGGGGCAGGGAAACAACAACAAAGGCAGCTATCTCAACAGCTAGAGAGAGACACTGACTCAATCCCTATAGTGTGCAAAACCCGAGTAACAAATTCCCATGTAACATATGAAGACTGAAAAAACGGGAGCCAATAGATACAATCAGATGAGTGCAGAACTCGTTATGTGAGATAAAAGCTGAAGTTTAAGGCACAATCGCTGGCTTGGAAATGGGTTATTAGGTTCTGCAATGATCAGTCTTGAAATTAGTCTTAATATTTTTCACTAGCAGTATTAGCAGTTAAAAGTATCCTAACTGTCACTTGCAGTGAGCCACTGCTAACATAGGAGATATAGATACATTAATAAAAAATTATTAATAATAAAACTATCATAATACAGCACTGAGGAAGAAAGATTTCTGTTACCCAAGGGAAAAGGTTTTTTTGCAGGGGAATACAATTCTAATACCTTAAGAGCAAGCCAATCTTCCATCCCACTGTAAAAAGATTATTTTAAAAGCTGCATTTACACAGATGATACGATAGCACCAGCCTGCTCAACAGAAAACCAAATGATCCACTTACCAAATTGCCAAAACAAAGCTTAAGAGTAAGAATAGTTACTTCAAGTACAAAAGAGAAATAACCACTTAAGTTGATGCACAGAGAGTCATGAGTAAACATAACTAGAAATTACAAGAAGGTTTTCAGTCATGAGAAAGTTACGGTTCTGAAATATTGTGACAGAGGTAACGGAGACAAACTGCAAACAGGACTGCGCAACCAGCTGCAGGGGAACCCTGGACACAAGGTTCAATGAACCAAACTACCCCCGGGTGTTTAGATGCCGCTCTTAAAACATTTTAACCACAGTAGTATCATATGGGAAGACAAACGCTTTTATAAAATACTTACCAGAATAATCCAGAAAAACTTTGACAGATATAATATACAAATTTTAACTTAAGTGTATTAATTTTTTCCAAGGTAAGGATACAGCATTGATGTAGCACCAGTTTCCTTTGTTGATCAGCCCTCGTGGTTGCAAAGACACTGGTTTATGTATTAATCTTACATTTTCCAGTATTTCTGCAGAATGAGAAACAGTAAATTGAGCATCAACAAAACGCACATGCTAGCCATCAAAACAAGTATCTGTTGACGCATTACAAAACCATTCAAATCAATTCACAAAATTCCCAGAAACTTCAGCAAATAACGTTCCCTCCATTTCAACACTGCTTGTATTTCAAATTGGACGCATTTCTTCAACCAAAGACATCCTGGAATTTGGGTCAGGAGGATGCTGGTACAAAAACTAACTACTGTCATTTCAAAACTGAGAAGACCTATCTGTTTTTATTTTTGTTTTACTAAAATTAGATACTTTTATTTATATAGATACATATATAGACATAAATTCCCACTAGCTGTAATTCCTTGTCACCAATTTTACAAAGTATTTCCCAATTTATTCTGCTTTGAAGAGAGACGAAGCTGATACAGCAGTCTCAGTTTACTAGTTTCAACATAACACTGACAACAAAAATACCTTAGTGCAAACAGGACAGACAGATGTTAATGTGGTCTTCTGAACAGTATGTTTTATTTACTGCTTTAAGACTTCCAAAGTCTACAAGGTAACAGGCTTACGTAATGTAATGCCTACTGTTTTCCGGCTTTCAAAAACTTCAGCAATGGCCCAAGTTTAAAAATTAGAAACCAGTGCAGATAAATAAGTCTGTTTCAGTTAGGAAACTGAGAGCAACAGGGCAAGTTTTTCCAGGAAGTCTGACCTGTTATTTAGGTACCTAAATAAAAACTGTTGAAGGAAAATATTGGATCTGGTATATTTTAAATTTGCAAAATAAGGACAAGAGGTATACAAGACAGAATAAAAAATGCAAATAAACATAGCAATTGTCTACTGAGGGGGTTGTTTATTTTTATAATAAATGTGAGGGCCTCTAAGCCCTTACATGCTACACTGCATAAACTTAAGTTTGAGCTATTCACTAGGACTACCTAAACAGACAAGACACCGTGACACCGGTGGGAAAGCAGAGGCACAAAGCCGTAACTGAGCGCAGGAGGTGGCAGAACTGCAAACATCATCCACGTCCTTCTACTTCCAAACTTTCTCTTCACCTATAAGATCATAC